CTAAAATTGAAATTATTACTTTATAATTTATAATTGGAAAATGCTGGCGTAGGCCCACTAACCTACAACTACATATAGGCCCAACGTCCATGATTCAATCTGAAGCGATCTGACGGACACGCCTTCATTTCGTATTTTAATTTTAATTTTAACTTTTTTCATAAATCCAAATTATATGAAATTTTAAGCTTCTAGTCTTCTCATCAATGTGCACCTAATAAAAATATTAAAAAATAATTTATAAAATATAAATTGATCAAAATACCCCTTAAATATTTTGGGGGTACTTTAGTCAATTTATTTTTCACAAAATATTTTTTTAATATTTTTATTAGATTCTAATATTTTTAAAGAACACGCCTAAAATTTCAAGTCATTTGGATTTATATAAAAAAATTAAAATTCAAATACAAAATAAAATCGTGATCATTAGATTGGCTCAGATTCACTCTGGGTCGTTTAGCTTATATGTAGTTGTAGGCTAATGGGCGTACGCCAGCATTTCCCTTTATAATTATTTACTATGCAAATAAGAAAAACTCTAAAATCTCTTATAACATCATCTAATTTAAAAAACTTATTATAACTATAATATATATATACATGGAAGATACTACAAAACTCTTTACTAGCAAAAATGAACAGTGATTATACCTACTCTCATCACCGTCCACAGTTCATCGTACAATCACGATTGTATGGTAGTATTTTATTTTTTATTTTTTTTATACAAATCGGAATGACTCGAAATTTAGAGCGTATATTCATCAAAAATAGATGAATCTATAAAAAAGATCAAAAAAACATTTTACATGAAAAACATTGACCAAAATACCCCCAAAAACTTTTGGAAATATTTTGGTCAAATATTTTTATACGAATTATTTTTTTATATTTTTATTAGGTGCGTCTTGCTAAAATATACATAAGCTCCAAATTTCATATCATTCTAATTTCTAGAAAAATAATTAAAAATAAAATACTACCAAACAATCGTGACTATGTAATGAACTTTGGATGATGATAAGGGTAAACGAAATCACTGCGCATTTTTTTCCATAGGCGTTGAGAAGACTTTTTCTCTCTCTCTCTTTCTATATATATATATATATATATATATATATATAAAGATTAGGTTATCAATGTATAATTATAAGTTATAATAGACATTTTTGGTTATCACTAAAAAATTCAATAATTAATATTTTTTAAGTTTCAAAAACAATTGGGGGTGTTACGATATGTACTTTTATTTATGACAAAAGTACGTAACTATTAAGATGTTTCTCTGTTTGGATGTCTCTATAATTATTAATTAATTATAATTTAATACTATAATATTGCATAAAATGATTCAACAAATTCCATTTTATATGATTATAAAATATGGATTATATACAATAGGACTATTTACCGTTAATACAATGTGGTCACAATTACGCACAACTATCTGATGTGAAGTTTGATAGCTTGGATATATTGCCAAGTTTGAGAAAATTTCTTTTGAAGTTTGAGTTTGATCAATGGAATAATTGCAGCCATCTAATTTCACATCCAATGGTCAAGATTAATGTCTCACCTTGTACCAAAGGTAAATGGTCTCCTTCTATTCTTTTTCTAAAAAAGATTAACCCTATAAATTGAAATTAGTATCACTAAATATTTATTAATTATCTTTGCTTATCCAAAATTGTAACAACCTAACTAGCTGTAATATTATACTTTAAAATTGAAATTATTAGTTATATTTTATAATTATTTTATTATAAAAATTATAATAAATTTATAATTTTCTTATAATATCATTTAATTTATAAAACCTTATTTACAACTATAAAAAAAAGTAATACCTACATAACTTATAATACAAATAAATTAATAACTAGGATACAACATTGTTAATATTTAATAGAGTAGAAGTTTAGAGATAGAGTAGGAGTTTAGAGAGAGAGAGTCAAAAGTTTGTTTGGGTAATCAAGTGACCCAAAGTTACTGAGGCGAGAGAGGGAGCGAGATGCAAAGGTGAATGGACTTAATTAGTCCCACATCGGACAACTAATTAAGTTTTACAAAACGCTCGACGACAACCGTTTCCATGCCCTTGGGCGCATGTTGGGTGGCTCATCAGTTAGTGGCCACGTGGATTTTGACGAGGAAAAGATGGCAGGACCCTTAGTTCTGAAAAAAAAATTCCTGCCTCTATAAAAACAAAACAAAAAAATAGGAATCGTCCGGTTCTAGAGAGAACCGGACGATTTTGTACAGTGACTCGCCCGATTTCACTGTACAGAATCGAAGAGTCCGTACAGTGAATCGGCGAGTCCCGTACGGTTTTTTTTTTTTTGGTTTGTAATCCATGATAGATTTTTTTGTAACACTTGATTGATTTTTTTTGTAATCCATGATCGAATTTTGTTTTTTTTTTTTTTTTTTTTTTTTTTTTTTTTTTTT